GGCGGCCGGGCTGCACCGCTACCTGCGCGACTTCTGCGGCTGTCACGTGGCCTGGTCGGGCGTCCAGCTGCGCCTGCCGCGCCCGCTGCCCGCGGTGCCCGGGGAGCTGACCGAGGCCTCGCCCTACAGGTACGGGGCGCTGCGCTCCCTGCCGGACCGAGGGTCCCCGGCCAGTTGCCCAGAGCAGGGCGCCGCGTGCAGGACGGGAGGCGAGGGTTTGCACGTCCATGCGCGAGAAGCCCCAGGTGCAGGGCAGTGCTCCGTGCATTTCTTAGCCCGGCCCTTGCCGGTGCCGTAGAGTGCTGCCCACGCCCCTCCAGCCTTGGGTCCTGCCCGCTGTCCCCCACTGAGTTCCCATCAGGCCGAGGGGGAGGGAGCCCTCTTCCCAGACAGGGACCAGCCTGCTCAGACAGTGCCGTCACCCAGACATGACGGTGCACACTTATCCCTGCACTGGGGAGGCTGAGGCAGGGGGATCACTGTGAGTTAAAGGCCAGCCTGCGCTACACAGTGAGTTCCAAGCCAGTCTAAACTGCATAGTGAGATCCGGTCTCAGAAGAACATAAGATGTACACACAGGTCACAGAGACGCTGCCCCCCCTCAGGTACCGCTACTACCAGAACGTGTGCACACATAGCTACTCCTTCGTGTGGTGGGACTGGCCGCGCTGGGAGCGGGAGATCGACTGGATGGCGCTGCACGGCATCAACCTGGCCCTGGCCTGGGGTGGCCAGGAGGCCATCTGGCAGCGGGTACGTGTCCGCCGGGCCCTCTGTCCCCCTGCCTGCCCGCCACCTGGCCGGTGTGCAGCGTGTGGCCAGCACGACAATGGCCCCACAGGCCTCCTGGAACTCACCGGGCAGCGCAGCCCGGCCCTGGGACCTGGCGGAGCTCGACAGGGAGCGAGCCAGTGAGCGTTTCCTCAGCGCGTGCGGGGCCGGTGGAGAGGACGTGTCCGCCCACCTGACGTCCCCATTCCCAGGTGTACCTGGCCCTGGGCCTGACCCAGGCAGAGATTGACGAGTACTTCACCGGCCCGGCCTTCCTGGCCTGGGGGCGCATGGGCAACCTGCACAGCTGGGGCGGCCCCCTGCCCCGCGCCTGGCACCTCAAGCAGCTCTACCTGCAGGTATGGCGGAGGGGCGCCGGCGCTTGGGTGCCGCCTGGGCCTGGGTCTGGACCTTGCTCACCAGCTGCCTCTCCCCCCAGCACCGGGTTCTGGACCGCATGCGCGCGCTGGGCATGACCCCTGTGCTCCCTGCGTTTGCTGGGCATGTCCCCAAGGCCATCGCCAGGTAAGTCGGGGCTTACAGGAAACCGAGGTCCCCGTGTGGGCCTGGGTTTGACTCCCGGCCGTTCCCAGCCAGCCTGTGGTCTGCACAGACGCTGCCCGCCCCTGCCTCGGCGTCCTTGCTGAGCTGCCTCACTGTGCGTGGGACTTGGCACGGCACACCGCAAGTGCTGCTTTCATTAGTGGCCATCGGGGCTGCCGGGTTTCCGTCCCTCCTGTGGCTGGGAGGCCCTGCCAGCTCCGCAGGGCCGCCTTCGTGCCCGTGAGCCTGGTTCCCGTTCCTGTCCCTGTCCCTGCACTTAGCGCGTGCCGTGCCTGCCCTTCCACCCTCAGCGGCTGCCCTTTCGCCGCTCCCCGGGAGGCAGGACCCTCACTCAGTCACTCACTGAACGCTTGCCCAGCTGTCAGGCTCAGCCCGGGCAGGGAAGGAGAGTGGCTCCTTCCTGCCGCGGGAGGGGCAGCACTAGCGGAAGCTTCTAGGCGGGCGCCTGTGGAAGGGTGGTGTGGATGAGCTAAGCACATGAGCAAGGGCCCGTGGCGCCCGCGCAGGCCCTGGGGCACGAGGCCCTCGCTGCCTGTGGGCGCTGTAGGTGAGAGTGCCGGGGTCCCGGGCCAGGTGCAGCCTGAGCGTTTGCTCCCCGCTAGGGTGTTTCCGCAGGTCAGCGTCACCCAGCTGGGCAGCTGGGGACACTTCAACTGCTCCTACTCCTGCGCCTTCCTCCTGGCTCCGGGAGACCCCCTCTTCCCGCTCATCGGGAGCCTCTTCCTGCGGGAGCTGACCAGGGAGTTCGACACAGACCACATCTACGGGGCGGACACTTTCAACGAGATGCAGCCGCCCTCCTCTGACCCTGCCTACCTGGCCAACGCCACTGCCGCTGTGTTCGAGGCCATGGCTGCAGGTGCGGCGCCTGGGGCAGGGCGGGGGGCAAGTTCCAGCCGTCGCTCCCAGAGCTGCTTCTCTTAAACGGTGGCCATATTGTTGCCCAGCCTGGGCTGGAACTTGAGATCCTCCTGCCTCAGCCTCCCAGAGTGCTAAGGTTGCAGACATTAACCAGCTCTCTGGGTAGTGCACCTGCCTGTGAGGCTGTCCTGGAGCTCCTAGCTGGGGGGCGCCAGGACAGGGCCGGCACGGTGCCGGTGTTGCAGGTGGGGCGGCTGCAGGGACTTTTGCTTCCTGCCTGTGGCTTGGGTTGACCACCCCGCTCCTGTCCTCTTCCCCGACAGTGGACCCCGATGCTGTGTGGCTGCTCCAAGGCTGGCTCTTCCAGAACCAGCCTGAGTTCTGGGGTCCGGCCCAGGTTGGGGCAGTGCTGGGGGCCGTCCCGCAGGGCCGCCTGCTGGTTCTGGACCTGTTCGCCGAGAGCCAGCCCGTCTACGCCCGCACGGCCTCCTTCCGGGGCCAGCCGTTCATCTGGTGCATGCTGCACAACTTCGGCGGGAACCACGGCCTCTTCGGAGCCCTGGAGGCCGTGAACCAGGGCCCCGCGGCCGCCCGCCTCTTCCCCAACTCCACCATGGTGGGCACGGGCATCGCGCCAGAGGGCATCGGCCAGAACGAGGTGGTTTACGCACTCATGGCAGAGCTAGGCTGGCGGAAGGACCCCGTGCCCGATCTGTCGGCCTGGGTGGGCCGCTTCGCAGAGCGGCGGTACGGGGCGGCCCAGCCAGATGCCGCGGCAGCCTGGAGACTCCTGCTCCGCAGCGTGTACAACTGCTCGGGCGAGGCCTGCCGAGGCCACAACCGCAGCCCGCTGGTCCGGCGGCCGTCCCTGCAGATGAACACCACGGTGTGGTACAACAGATCCGATGTGTTTGAGGCCTGGCGGCTGCTGCTCAAGGCCTCACCCAACCTGACCGCCAGCCCGGCCTTCCGCTACGACCTGCTGGACGTCACCCGGCAGGCGCTGCAGGAGCTCGTCAGCTTGTACTACGAGGAGGCGCGGGCGGCCTACCTGCAGCAGGAGCTGGTGGGGTTGCTGAGGGCTGGCGGCCTCCTGGCCTACGAGCTCCTGCCTGCCCTGGACGAGGTGCTGGCCAGTGACCGCCACTTCCTGCTGGGCAGCTGGCTGGCGCAGGCCCGGGCGGCCGCCGTGAGCGAGGCCCAGGCCGATCTGTACGAGCTGAACAGCCGTTATCAGCTGACTTTGTGGGGGCCGGAAGGCAACATCCTGGACTACGCCAACAAGCAGCTGGCGGGGCTGGTGGCCCACTACTATGCGCCCCGCTGGCGGCTCTTCGTGGAGTCGCTGGCCGACAGCCTGGCCAGGGCTGCCCCTTTCCAGCAGCGCCGGTTCAACAGGGACGTCTTCCGGCTGGAACAGGCCTTCGTCCTAAGCAGCCGGAGGTACCGCAGCCAGCCCCAGGGCGACACTGTGGACCTGGCCAGGAGGGTCTTCCTCAAGTTTGCCCCCCCGAGGGCGGCTGGCGCCAGCTGACAGTCACCACAAGGCCACGTTCCCCTGGACTCGGCCTGGAGCCAGGCCAGCACCGCCGGGACCTTGGGCCTGGGGGAAGGGGCCGAGGCTTGGCGCAGGAGGCCGGGGTGGCCGGGGCGAGCTGACCTCCACCGCCACCCAGCTTGGGAATAAAGTGCTGCTTCCTGTCACCTTCACTAACTGCCGTCAGCCTGTCTACCAAGGGGCCCGCTGAGGGGCCCTCCGAGGGCCACGGGGGTGGGCGGGGTTCCCTGCCTGTGCCTCAGTTTCCCCATTTTTGATACTAACGCTCGGCGTTTGAACAGAGTGGCCTTTCACAGCACGGCAGAAAACCCTGGTGGCCGTCACTGCGGTTCAGGACGGAGACGCCCAGGAGCTGGGTGCGCAGCGTCCCCGCGGGACCCCACACTCCGGGCAAGGCCACCTGCACCCCGGACACCCGAGGTTACAGTCACGGGCTTCTCGACTTTGACGCAGAGCAGGGGGGCGGCCCTGACCGGCCGGGGAGGTTTGGCCTTGAGATCTGAGTAGACTCCACAAGGGCTGGGGGCGCGGCGGGGCGGGGCAGCCGCTCGGATATCAGGGGTGCCGCCGGCGGGGCCCCAGCCCTGCAGCATGGACCCCGCCGAGCGCACCGTGGTGCTCATCACCGGCTGCTCCTCCGGCATCGGCCTGCGCCTGGCCGTCCGCCTGGCCGCGGACCCGTCCGGGAACTTCAAAGGTACGGGACAGGGGCCCCTGGAGGGCAGGGCGGGCCCCGGGGCCTCAGGGGGTGCCCCAGATGCAGTGTGGCCACCGTGCGGCCGCCAGCGCCTCTGACCGCGCCCCACCGCAGTGTACGCTACCATGCGGGACCTGGCGGCGCAGGGAGCGCTGTGGGAGGCGGCCCGGGCCCGGCGCTGCCCGCCCGGGGCCCTGGAAGCGCTGCAGCTGGACGTGAGGGACTCGGACTCGGTGGCCGCTGCCCGGGCACGCGTGATCGAGGGCCGCGTGGA